CCCCAAAACCCCAAAACCCCAAAACCCCAAAACCCCTTATTCCTTGCTCATATTGAAAAATAGTAATTTAAAATGAAACAGCTTAAATTGCAATTTATGTAGATAAATAAGAAACTGGCATAATTCTTGCTACAAATCAAAATCGGTGGTTCTGATCTTTTTACTCTCGCATTTACTCAGATTTGTTGCCGTTATAAAAATGGGATTTGAAGTATTAGAACTCTTTTTATTCGTTAAGCAGTCTAAAACGGTCAAAACTGACTCCTTACTCTGGCTTTTGGACTTTGTTAGAGACAGTTTGGATCAACTTTTAGGACGCAATTTCCTCAAACCAGTTTTGGGCCTTTTGATATCAAACTTTATTTTAGGGTTATGCTTCTTCCTACCACGTGCAGTTAGGATTCTTCTCTTCCTTGAAACCGTTGGAATCTGAGCCTTGAGCATATTTGCTTCTTTCAGAGTAGTGCGGTAATATTTTCTTTCCATAGCATGCTTACTGCTTAGTAATTTCTCGAAGTTCTCATAATCAATGTTTTTGTTAAACAGATTATTAGCCCCTGCTCTCGTTGTAAATAAGAAGAGATGAGTGTCCCTTTTCTTCCTAGTAAATGAATAAGTTGGAGCAATCTTCTTATTAATATCTCTAGGCGAGTATCTGCCAACGGAAGGTGACTCCTTCAGACCCTTCTTTATATAAGAGAGAGAAGGAGCAGTGCCAGATCTTGAGGTAGAAAGAAAGCTAGATGACTTTTTAACCACCTTATTTTCCCTCATTTTCTGCTTTGCGATGATTTCTTGGTTTAGCTTATGAAGCATTTCTGGAGAAAATATTTTCCGTGGTTTATCAAGAGAATCTGAATCATCGCTTATATATACCTTCTTGCTATTTGGCTTGAGCTTCTGAGTCAAACCTCTCTTGAACATTACAAAATCACTATCTGTGGATTTTCCCTTGAAGCTAATCATTTTGGTTGGCTTTACTTGGCTCAACTTAAGAGTCCTACAGTTTAGCAACATCTTGAGCTATTTTAATTTATTTAGAAAGTTTCAGAACCTAAAGTTTTATAGGGGTTTTGGGGTTTTGGGGTTTTGGGGTTCTGGGGTTTTGGGG